GCATGAAGACATGACTTAGCAATAAATTCTTGGTGAGTAACTGAAAAGGATATTGGGCTTAAAACAATTTTTTAAACAAAACTTCTCCTAAAAAAAAATCTGTTTTCCTACTCAAATTTTAAAAACTTTGAAAGCAAATAGCCTGAAGTGAATGGGGTGAAGTCTAAATGAGACAGGTGGGATGGTGGCTGCTTTCGGCCATGGAATTTAGGGTAAGGTGGTAGGATGGTTGAAACTGTGTGTTCAGCTTTTGCAACCAATCAACAAACATTACTGAGAACCCACTAGGGGTCAGGCATAATGCTAAATGCTGGGAAACAAGCATCATTCTCAAGAAGTTCCTCCTCAGAACAGGAAACAAATACCCGGTCTTCATGGAAGAAGTGATATTTGAACCATATCTGAGAGACTGAATATAACTTCCATAGACAGAGAAAAGGCCAGTCTGGGCAAAGGGAGCAGCACACAAAAAGCCAGAAAGAAGACTTGGAAGAATTTGGTGTGGTGAGGCCATGAGAAGTTTGATGGGACTACAGATAGAAAATGAGCGCTGACAAGGAAAGGACAGCAAAAGGAGAGGTGGCAGTAGCGGGACATGAGGTGAGAGAAGTAGACTGGGGCCAGGTTTTAAAAGGCTTTGACTGTTGTAGTAAGGACAGTGGTCCTTATCCTGAAGGCAATAGGGAATTGTGGAGCTTTTAAAGTGACACAATGAGATTTATTATAACTGTTACGTTCTTGGCACTGTCTTACATGTTGTTAAATAATATGCCTCAATTCTCTCCAGACCTCCGTGTATGCTTTCTCATTAATTCTCAAAGAAGAGTTTGTCAAGAGAAAAAAGTATAAGGAACCTAAAATAGGATTAGGTAGGAGCCCAAAGTAGCACCTACCCAGAAGGCTCCTGCCTCTTTCTGCCTTTAGGTGTCTTTCTAAGACTGCTTCCTGGAAGAGCCTTTTTGCTCTTTCTATATCTCCTGTGCTTTCCCTACCCAGTACAATTCTCCACCACAGCGTCCTCTCCAATACAACAAGCTCACTCAGTCTTTTCAAGTGCACACAAACCGTTACCTATACAAATTAGTTGAAGCACACACTCTCATATTACCCAATTCAGCTAGACACAGATTCACATTGGGCGAGCTGTTAGTCATTACCAATCCCCTTTTCTAATTTATTATCTTCCTTCCTACCACCTCATGCTATGGCCAGAATAATTTAGCTTAGCACTCTTGAGTCATATGAATGTACTCATATATCTAAAACATTGGTCATTTTATAAAGCAACCCTGTAAGGGAGTTATATTCATTATTGACATTATGTTACAGATGAGAACACTGAAGCCCAGTCAATAAGCAATTTGCTTATGGTCCTACTATTATTAAGACACAATTAGGACTAGAATCCAAAATTTTAACTTTATATCACCATGTTATTTCCCAAATATACCTTACCTTGCAGGTAAAGTATTCTGTGTACCTCTTCTCCATTCCAAGTCAAAAACGACTCTTTTCCAAATGACCCAAGCTTCTTGATTTCTATGGATTTGGGGCCTGAACTTCCTTGAAGTCAACCCTCCCACTGCTGGCCATTCTTCACGACAGAACAGGAACCTCTTCCCTCTCCTCACTCCCTCAGCTTCTCTGAAAATTCCAAACTCCTTCACCTCGCAGAGATGATGCAGGTAGTAGAGAACAAAAGTCTGCTCTGAGTCTTACTATATCCTTGGGGCACACGTTAGAAATAGAGTAAAAGCATATCTAAAACCCAGTTACATTTTGATTATTAAATTCATCCCAATCCATGTAAGATTTGAGAGAGACTATTTCGCCGGAGGCTACTACATCGGAGATTTTGACATATATCATGAAAATTCCATACGGAAATCACCATCTGTACATGAAAAGAAAGCGAGGAGAGCTGGAGAAAACAGAATCAAAGGAAACAATAGCTATTCTCTTGTTTTTCAGCACCACGTGTTTGAAAGCTGGGGCTTATAACCTGAATAACTAGAAGAACCTGGAAACGAAGAAAGTCCAACTTGGCCACTGAACTGGGTGGGGGGAATGGGAAGGGAGAGAAGCCAGATGTGAAATTTCAGAAGCTCTATTCTATCTGCCCTCACCCAGGCTCACCAGGGTTCACCCAGAACTGCTGCTTATTCATTCATTCCAGGCAGGTGATACCAGGTGAGAACAACCACACCTACTCCACACATCCCTTGAGACAATGGAAAGGACACATACCTTCAACCAAACAGATGAGCTTCGTTTGGCACTGAGCTTCCCTCCACCTGTGAAGTTAGTCTGCCAGGGCTACTGTAAAGGCTCCGGGCTGCTTCCTTAACCTCTTAAACAAAGGATGAAGAGGACAGGTATGCCCAGCTCTGCATCCCTGTAGCCTCTTGGTTTTAGGCATTATAAAAGGCAAAAGAAAAAAGGTAATAGAAACAGAGTGTTAAAAAGAGTGTTCAAACGGTACTCCTAAGGGAAAACTTTAATCTTGCCCCAGGGATGTAGTTTAGCATATGTAATTGAACCGTTTTAACATTAAGAGTTTCCTAAATGGATTCCTGTTACCAAGAGATAATATGCATAAACTGCAACACATGGGTATATTTGATATATATTTCTGATGTCAGAAGTTTATTAAAGATTCCTAGGGGTAGGGTATTATCACAGAGAAAATGCTATTAGAAGGTAATCCTTAAATAGTTCCTGCAAACTTTATTTTATATAAGTAATATAAGAGAAGAGAAAATAGATTCTTTGCCACTTTTTTTGTTGTTGCTTATTTTACACCACTACTTGGTCATTTCTTTCAGGTGCTAATCTCCTTCAGCTTTGCAGCCTCTATTTTCTTTTCTTCCACCTGTCATCCTCAAGAGATTTTATAATATTTCTATTATCATAATCACACTTTAATTTCTGGTCCTGTTCCACTTCTCTTGCCAGTCTCATTGCTGCCTCTCTTCCCTGGACATAGCTAGATTTTGGATGGAGAACTTCATTGGGTGGATAGCCATTAGCTCTTGAGTGTTTGTGCCTATGAATAAGATGACCTTTTTATTCACTTGCTCTTTTTTTTTGAAAGGAAAAGTGCTTTACCCTTTGATCTTATAAGCATTCTGTTTAGATATAGTTTGACTCTATTTTCATGAGTCTTTTTACACATGGAAACTAATACATTTTTTACACTTGCTCATTTTAATAACAAGTGATAATAACTATATCACTCTGGGGAGGTAAAAATATGCTGGTAAATATGTAGATTGACTTTCATGCTTCAGAAAATGAAATCAGTTCATGCCAAAGAACCTACTCTTAGAGATCTTTGACTGCAGTGTAATTTTCTATTTATTTATTTTTTTCAATCATGCATGTTTTCTATTAGTCACGGGGCAGAAAGCTATACATCTCCCCCTTGTGGTTCCTGTTTGTGTCTGCCTTTCCATGTCCAATTTCTTCCAGCTCCAATCAATTCCAATAGAATGCTGCTAAATAAAATCTTCCTAAACCACAACCTTTTTATCACTCTCCTGCTCAAACTTTCAGTGGATTCCTATTACCTGCAGGATAAAATCCAAACTCCTTGGCATTGTCCACCTGAAATTTGTATACTAAAACTCTCTGCTTTTTGAAATCCTACACTTTCTGCAAGGCCCGAATTCCTCTTTCTCAACCCTCCGCCTGGAAATAGTCTCTCCATTTTGTTCTCTCATACCACAATCTGCCAGTAATTACAGGTATTTGTGCTCATTTTATCTCTCAGACTCTATTACGAATATCTGAAGAGTAGGAAAGAACAGTATCTTTTTCGTTTCCTGTTGTTTCCACAGTTTCTCGCACAGTGAAGGCACTCAACAAATGTTTATAGAACTGAATAAAACACAGTGGTTAGTAAAATTAAGGCAGCATTACGCTTTAAAAACAGATGACACGTTTAATAATGAATCAAGAGACAACTGCATAGACCCACCCTGTCCCATAGAAATATAATGCAAGCTTTATATGCAATTTTCAATTCTCTAGTAGCCAGATTATAAAAAGAAACAGGTGAAATTAATTTTAATAATATATTTTATTTAACCCAATTATTTCAAATGTAATCAATATAAAATTACAAGTGAAATATTGTACTTTTTTTATACTAAGTCTTCTAAATCTAGTGTGCAGGATGTACTTACCACACACCTCAGGTCAAATATGCCACGTTAAAAGTGATTTATAACCACATGTGGCTACTGGCTACTGTATTAAAAAGGTGCTGAGCCCTTCTGCGGGGTAGGAACTGAGTCCTAGTCCTGGCTGACCACTGTGTAGTCCTGTTACCTTACATAAGACCTGGTCCTGTTCAGCTCCTCCCACCAGTCTCATTTGCTGCCACTCTTCGCTGGACATAGATTTTGGTTGGAGGACTTCACTGGGTGGATAGAAATTAGCTCTTGAGTTTTTGTGCCTTAAATATTATTTCCTTGATTTCCTCATCTGAAAAGGGAAGACACACAGAGAGAGAGAGAAATACATTCTATGTTCTCCAGAGGACTCTGGGATGGTCATTTATTATTAACACTGTGTTCTTTTTAGAAGATTCTCTGTAGAGTCTAAGGGCCTCTTCTCAAATACTTCATTTATTGCCTATTCACTTGCCAAAATCTGAACTATCACTCTCACTGGCCTAAGAAATGGTATGGAAATGCATTCAAAGTATAGTTTCATCTTTATGGAGCCGAGGCAGCGAGAAACAATTCCCTTTCTTGTGGGTTGTGACTTGCCTTTCTGTCAGCCTAGACTCAGGAAGGTGACTATTAGAACTTTGCTCGGTTCAAAATCCCTTTCCCCTTCCCGCCACACGCTCCAAGTTTCTCTCTCACAAGGTTCCTGAAGTCCTACCGCTTGCCCCCGATTGTTGTCTGGGAGACCAGACCCTGCCCTAACAACAGTTGCTAAGGGGCGGAGACTTCGAATTGGTTCCGGAGACCAAATACTCCAGGGTCAAATACTCTAGGCGCATGCGGTAACCTTCTCTGAGTTCTCGCGAGGCTTCCTCTCCCGGAAGCACCGGAGGACCTTCCCAGTTAACGGAGTCGCGATGTGTGGGGACTGTGTGGAGAAGGAATATCCCAACCGGGTGAGCGAGTGGGCACCGAGAACTTCCCGCTCCCTTGACCCATGGCCGGCCCCTGAGGCTTCCCATGCCCCCAGTCGACCTTCTCTGGGAGGCCGGGCGCCGGGCGGACTCAGCCGTTTTGCCCCTTCCGGTGACCCGGTAGCTTTATTTAGGCACCTGACAGCGCCGATGGCCTATAGCGGTCCATTCCCGCTGATCCCGGCCCTGGCCACTGACATCAGCTGTCACCCTATTTCTCTTGAGCTTCAGGGGACAGCAAATGAAACCCCACCACCAACACAACCCAGGCGACAACAGAGGGCACCCCTTTCCCTACCCTGGTCTCATCCTCAAGCTTGATTTAATGACGTTGGGTGTTCTTCCTGAATTCTAGCTCTGGAAGGCTCTGAGTTTATCTGTTCTAACCCAGTTTTGCAGATGAAACTTATGCTTAGAGAAAGGAGATCACTTGCCGAAGTTCACATTCTAGTTAGAGCCAAGACTAGAATACAGGTTTCCTGGATGTTACTTTCTTTTAAATCTCTGTCCCTTTCAAGTTCAGGAGGTTGCGAAGCTTGTTTTCTTTCATTCACTCAGGGTATACTTACAGAACCTTTATATTTGTGTAACTAGATTACTTTGCTAGGCCAGAAAGGGATACCAGAGAAGAAATAAAAGGCAGCTTCCGTGCTGCAGAAGAGCTTACATTTTACGTGAGCATGTTATTAACAAAAAGTGACTAGTACAGTACATATATGCTATTCAAGTTTAGAGAAAAGGGAGAGCAGCAGGGGATAGTGCTGTTTTCCCAGAATAAAGGTGGCCTTCAGTGGGGACTTGAAGGATAGTTATGACTAAGGTAGAGAAGAAGGAAAGGAGGAGTTGAATTCTGGAGGAAAATAACAAGAACAAGGATTCTCATATTGTTCGGGAGGTAGAAAATTTTATGGTTGCTTCTGTTTCTTAATATTTTCAGTAATACTTAGTCTTTGGGGAAGGTTATGTAACAACATGAACACTTACGTGGTAAACCTCTTTGAGGAAAAAACTCAGAGTTGTCCAAAAAAAAAAAAGTTAAAAAAAAGATATGCATGCTGAATGACCCAGAAGTTCCCATTCTGGAGAAATAAATGAATGTGTGCAGTATGTTCCTGGAGACTGATATAAGAATGTTCATAACAGCATTATTTGTGGTAGTAGACTGTAAAAGTATGATATGGTCATAGAATGGAACACCATGAGTGAGTGAGTAATTGAAAGTGACTGAGTGAGAACAGTGGTTTTGCCTCCCAAGGCATTTGACAATATCTGGAAACTTTTTTGGTTGTCGCAACTGGGGTACAATAGATATTTAATAGGTAAAGGCATTATGCTGTACATTTATGTTTCACATACTTTTCTTTATTGTGTTCTATTTTATACATTTTTATTTGTTTAACAAGAGATTGTTGTGAATCCAGTAATGAACACTGCACATTACAGGCACCATGAGGGAGATGTTTGCTGCGGATGGTATTAAAGGTTGGATTTTTAAGAGTTGAGCTAATCAAAAGACTTGAAAATTATATTGAGAAGTTCAGATTTTAAACTTTAGGCATTTGGCAACCATTCCCCAAAAATTAAATAGGGAAGTGATTCTGAAATCTATTATTTAGAAAAGTGAATCTTGTGGTTGTTGAGATGATGGGATTGGGGGAAGTGTAAAACAGCATTTGGGGAGCCAAATGGCAACAGTAGTGTAGGCGTGAGATAATGAAGACCTCATTTCTAAGAAACAATTAACAGGACTAAACTCCTTTAATGTAGGAGGGAAGAAGGGAAGAGCTGTAGTCAGATGAGTCAGCCAAATAAAAGCGTCAAATGGAAAAGATTTGTTCTCTTAGGAAAAGAATGTAGAGAATCAACCAGAATCAAGAACTGAGCTTCAAGGAATAAATTAATTTAGGAAGTGAAAAGAAAGGTATAGGAAGAAGAGTAGAGAAAAGAATTGAGGTGATTGGAAAACCAGGAAAGTGCCTAAAGCACTTTTCTCTGATTTAATCTGTTCTGAAATAATTAAAGGGCTGTCATGAGGAAGAATTGAGCTTTTATTTGAAATTTCAAAAGGCAGATTTAGAAATAATTAGTAGGTGGATATTATGGAGTTGTAGACATTGACTTAGAATAAAGAACTTTCTGACAGATTTTTTTTTTTAATGGAATGGGTAACCTTAGATGAATTGAACTCTCTTCCTGTTGTTCAGTACAGACTGACTACTTGAAATCTCAAGATTCCTTCCAGCTCTGGGATTTTTTGAAGTCATGAGATATTTTTAAGGGCAGTAAAAGCAGAAGCCACTTTGCTTGAGCCTAGTAAAGGAAAAGATACTAAGGTGGTGGTAGCAAGTATAGTCCACTCATTCAAAAAATTTGGCAGAGAAACATAATGGATTAGCATATTGGGTAGGTCTAAATGCAGAATGAGTAGATAATAAATATTTAATCCTTTATCTCTGGTTTCGTAAAATTTCCTGGAGTTCTGTGGTAGATGTTTTTCACAGGCTAGAAAATTCCTAACAGAGCTCTAGCCCACTAGCTTGTAATATTATACCAAGAACTTGAACTCAAGCATGAATCAAATTGTAGATGAATATACTAATTTTCTGAATTCAAATTTTTTTGCTCAACTGTGATCCAAAAAAAATTTTTTTTTCATTCAGAAAAGCATTTAGCAAACCAGTTGAACTAGAACTTTACTGCCTTTTCTAAAATAACTAATCAGGCACAAACTTGTAGTAAAACATTTCCACATCAAACTGGAAATGAAACCTTTATTTTTGTGTAGTTCCAGTTTCAGCTTTAAAATTCTTAGTAATACAGTAGCAATACAGAAATAAAGCATGAATCGAGATTAATCAGAGAGAGTAATCAGTAATCATTAATCAAATTAATGATATGTTTAAATTAGAAATTGTTTTATATGCATCACTTAAAATTAAACTACCAAAGTTTATGTACTTAAATTGTTGCTTAGCATTAAACCATATTTAATTAAGTGCTGAGTTTGATATATAATTGGTAAGACAATTGTATGTAAATGGATGCTTTAAAATGATATTCTGCATTTTTAAATGCCTGCGTTAGAAAAGAACAATCTGGAATCAGTAACTTAACCTTCCATTTTAAGACAGTGGAAAAACAGTATCACACTAAATTCAAAGTAAGCAGAAGAAAGGAAATAGTAAAGGTTAGAGTTGAAATTAATGAAATAGAAAACAGAAAAATAGAGAAAATCAGCCAAACTAAAATTTGGTTCTTTTAAAACTGTATTTTCCATTTTCCATTTTCAACATTCCTTGACAAAACATATACACTATTAAATTATACCATCTGAAATAATAGTTTTTTGGAAAAAGCAAATTGGCCCAACCCTTGTCAAAGTAATTGCATATTTCTCAAATTTATATAAGATTTTATCATAATATACTGTCATACTAATTATCATCATAATATTCAACCATTTCTTCTTGCGCATTTGCATACCTTTACAGATCCTTAACAAGAATTTAGCTGAATTACATTTTCTTTGGATATTTAACATTTGATTTTTTTCCTGTCTTCTTGAAACTGTTAAAGCTTACTACATTTACTTTGGAATTGATTTAGATTTTATTCTCCTTTTTCTTCCCATTGTGAGAACCTCAGAAGCTTCTCTGAATATTGTGTGCTTTAATTTACTTTCCCAAATTTGGACATTAATAATCTCACGTCATTTAATAAAAGAGCCACGCCTCTCTGATAGAGGTTACCCTCATTGCTTTCAAATGACCAGGGCCCTTATAGAAAGCCCTGTCAGTTTCTTAGATACTGTACTTGCATGTTGCCATTTCAAGAATTTATTTCCTTACCTCACAATAGGTATATAGATCTCTTTCCTCTTCTCTCAGTGTTTAGAGTTTACATTCTGTCTGCTTCCAAAGTCAGATTACAGAAGTTAGACCACATTGTATAAGGTACCTGTGTTTATGTGTGCAATCCTGTTCAGAGTTCTGTTTATTTGAAAGTGGCATTTAGATCTTTATTCTTTTAATGTATTTTTTCAAGTCCTTAATTTCTTGGAGTCTTTGGCAATCAGCCTTTATAGATTCAGGGCAGTCCCAGTTCAAACGCCAGCAGGCTTTTTTGTAAAAGGTTATAAGCTGATTCTAAAATTTATATGAAATGAAAAGAACCTAGACTAGCCAAATTATAGGACATAAACTACCTAATTTAAAGACTTACTAAAGCTACAATAATCAAGAGAGTGTGAGATTAGTGCAAAGAAAACAAAAACACTAATTCAAAAAGATATATGCACCCAAATGTTCATAGCAGCATTATTCACAGTAGCCAAGATGTGGAAGCAACCTAAGCGTCCATCAACAAATGAGTGGATAAAGACAGTGTAGTGTATATATATATATACACACACACAATATATATATTACTCAGCCATAAGAAAGAATGAAATCTGGCCATTTTGCAACAACATGGTTGGACCTGGAGGGTATCGTGCTTCGTGAAATAAGTCAAACGGAGAAAGATAATGTATGTTTTCACTTATATGTAGAATCTAAAAAAACAAAAGAACAAACAAAATAGAAACAAACTCACAGATTCAGAGAACAAACTAGTAGTTACCAGAGGAAAAGGGGTAGGAGGAAGTGAATGGGATCAAGAGGTAAAAACATAAAATGAATAAGTTATAAGGATGTAATGGACAGCACAGGGAATATAGCCCGCATTATACAGCAACTTTGTATGGAGTATAGTCTATAAAAATATCGAATGACTATGTTGTACACCTGAAACTACTATAGTAAGTTAACTGTACTTCAATTAAAAAAAAGAAATGAGGTTGAACTAGGTTGTTTATAAAGCGACTTTTAGTTCTGAACAATTACTAGTAAGCTTTTAGCAAAAACCTCCCTTGAGCCAGAAGCATATATTGCTTGCAGTTTCTTAGTGACGAGCGAAAACCTTTCTCTTTTAAATGCCATGGTGTCAGTCTGATGAATTGCAGAACTTGTCTTCTGTGCCTGAATCACAGGTATCCTAAGGACTGGCATCTACAGAGCTGAGAATTTGGTTTTCTTTATTTTGTTGCATTTTTAAGGCTTGAGAAAATGCTGTTTCAACAATCAACTGAGCATCACAGTGTAGAAGATTATCTTTGTCTTAGTATTTTGATTTTGATTGAATTTTCATTCTAGTTTTATAATATACCTCATTTAATATTGTTGGCTATTAGATTTTTCTGATTTTTCCTTTTCATATTTTATATTATTAAAACTCCATTAAGTTGTTTCTAAATATCTTTTTGCATTTAGTCCTCTCTCAAACACAGTTGCAGTTCTCAGAGACTTACAGCTCTAACACTGCTTCAGTTTAATTTACCCTGAATGCTTCTAGAGAAAAGCTGGTAATCTCAAAAATTCTTGATGTAGACTTCAAGCAAGTAAATTCTGGCCATGGTTTTTGCCTTTAGAGATTCTAAGTCTGTTAATCATTTTCAAATGATTGTGGATTTCACGGATTTTGAAATAGAAGAAAATTAAATTCCTCTTTTTCATATTTTAGGGTACCATCTGCCTGGAGAATGGGTCTTTCTTGCTGAACTTTACAGGCTGTGCAGTGTGCAGTAAGCGGGATTTTATGCTGATCACAAACAAATCTTTGAAAGAGGAGGATGGAGAAGAAATAGTTACCTATGATCGTAAGTAGACTTTTTTTCTACATGAATCTGTTAGCAGATACCAGCTTTTGGAAGTTAGGTTGTGCCAAGTATTATGAGGCCTATTTCAATGTCATATTGCAATACATAGTCACTAGTTAGTTTTTTAAGAGGAAAATGTAGATAACACCTCATTTATCTAGCATTATCAGGTAGTTCCCATAAATGACTTTTGCAGGTAACTGAAGCTTATGATTCAGGCACCAGTTTTCTTTTGTTTATTTTTAAAGACTTTATGTCTTCTGAAACAAGATATGGGGACTTTTTTTTAACCTTAAGGTCATCCATATGAATTTTCACTTTCTACCGTAGTATAATACAGTGGTATCCTCCAACACCTATCAAAGTGTTCAGGGCTTTTGCCTTTGTACTAAATGATCCTAGGATGCTATAGTTCTTTTAGTCTTTTTTCTGCTTTTATAGCTTTTGTCTCTTTTCTCACTGTTAGTCTGTAGTTTCTTTCTTTTGCTACTGTTAAGTATGCTACCTTCTTATCTGTTCCTCATCCTTAATACTGGGAAATCAGGTAAATAACTATGTATTATAAAAATACATCAGTTCCAAGGTTGGTACTAAGAATCTCTATGAGTAAATTAAGTATATGTCTACTTACTGCCCAGATATTGTGACAGCTCTTTAACTGTTTACATTTCCTTTTTGCTTGTGTCCTGGTTTTTTGGTGTGTTCTGAGTATGTGAGAAATAAATGTGCAAATAATGATATTTTGAAAGAGAGGTATGAAAGACACTAAGCCTTTAGAATAGAGTCAGACTGTGGGAAAATGTTCTAAATTAGAAGAACCTTTTTCTTTCTTTTAGCATATTCCCCTTTAAACTGTATTTTTTTGCAGGTAGTAGAGAGTAGAGCATAGTGGTCAAGAACAAGGGCTCTGGAGTCAGAATGCTTGGATTTGAATTCTGGTTCCAACACTGCTTAGCTTGGTAGTCTTCCTAGTTACTTAACCACAGTGTACCTTTGTTTCCTTATCCCTAAAAAGGTGATATCAATAGTATCTACCTCATTGGGTTTTTAAGAACATTAAGTGAATAAACAGATAAAAGGTATTCAAAACAGTATCTGGCACACATTAAGCACTCAATAAATTATAGTTGTTATTATTATTATCATATTGAGAGGCTTTTGTTACTGTTAAATTTACTTTAATGTCTAGCATTGGCTTTTTGTTTATGATTGATTAATAGCACAATTTCTATCATTCCTGAGAATAAAAGCTTTAACATATTTAGATAGGTCCAGCTAGTTTAAAAAACATACATATTTGCTAATTGATTACCTTAGAGAGCTTTCAACAAGAATTAATACATGCACATTAAGTTCCTGAGTTCAGGCCCTTAATTGTATAGTGTGGCTGTGTGACAGATTCTGGATTTCTTATCAAGGTAAATATTATAATGGGTTTCCTGCTGTGTTAAATATGACAGAGTTAAGATTTTTTTTAAGTAGTTCCGTGTTAAGAATAGAAATTTCACTGTCTTAAGACCCCTTCCAAGACTTAATTATTTAAGTCTCTCTCTGTTTCAACAGATCTTTGTAAGAATTGTCATCACGTAATAGCCAGGCATGAGTATACGTTCAGTATCATGGATGAATTTCAGGTAAATGTATAAATACGTGTATGTTATTGTGGGGAAGTGGAGTGATAAAAGTACCCTTGAAAAATTAGATATAGTCTTCATAAATGCAGTATTAGCTAATTTTGGAGGAGGCCATCCCTCTCTTCCACTTGTACAAGTTGAAAGAGACACTTTAGATGTAGGTGGATCTGTTCAAATCTCTCTTCACAAGAGTCACAAAGCAAAAATGCATGCCTTACAAATGATATCTCAATTCTGTCATTCTTGCTTCTGAAGAACAGCATATTATGGCTTCTTATGAGGTTACTATTGTGCCTCTTTTTTCTCTACCCAGTATATGATTGCACAGTTGTTGGCTTTAAGTGTTGACCTGCTCACTGCCATGCTGCTTGCTGAGCATGGAAATTGCTCTAAAGAAGTTAATTATCTTTGTTCCCCTTGTAGGTGTGGAGAGTCAAGCAACTTTGTAGTCTCAGTTGTGATAAGACATTTTAATATTGTTTGATGAGTAAAATGATAAGTATATCAGGGAGCAAAGCTGAACCATTATAAGGGTAGAGACTGGGGATGTATTATAAGGATTGGTCCTTATACAATTGTGAGATCATATGAAGAATTCTACAGGCTGTTGCAGGCCTGAAATTGCTGAAGATTCACAAGTCTAATAGTCAGGGAGAAAAGCTGGACAGTGGGGGAAAGCCAAGGACAAACGGGAAAGCAGGAGGACACACTCACCTGTGTCTGTCCTTCACTGCCTCTATTTTCAAGCCTTCAGATTGAGTTACTTATGTAGTGTGAACTACATGTTTATCCATGGGGTATAAGTATCAAGTATGAGCTTTTAACAGGCAAGGGAATTTTTTTTTGATACTTCAAATTTGGATAGTACTATGATTAGGAAGAAAAAATCTTCCATATCAGAATCTTATAAAATAGTATAAGCACTTTCATTCATTCTTATTTTAGTGTGGAAGGAAGCACTTAGTCACCCATCAGAATCTGGTCTAATTTGTTGTGGTTTAGCTAAACAACATCCTCACCACATCTCCTCAGCATCCAAAAACTATGCCTGAAAGATACTTACATGAACGATGTGACTTAGGGCAAAATTGAGATCTCAGTGAATAAGTAGCAGCCAAATAGAGGAATAAGCATGTCAGGGGCTTAAAGGAGCAGTTTTGTCTATTTATGGGAGGAAAGGAGTGCTTACAGCTATTTTCTAGAAGTTCCTGAAGCTCTTGTGAGCTTTTTAGTGTCCCTAAGTGGATATTGAGATTGCCTGTTTATGCCCTAATTGAGCCGTTGTGTATCACCGCCGTGAGACCGAAGTCTAGCTGATTTTCCTTTATGACTGTGCACAGCCATTTTCAAAGCTGGCCCAGAAATTCCTCTGGGGCAGGAACAGGAAGGTGAAGGAAGATGGCTATAATCACAATGCCTAGATAGTGTGAAATTCTCTTGGAAAAAAAACTCTTAAACTGGACTCTCTACTGCCAGTTTCTCTCCCAACATCCACTTCCCCTTCCACCCATATTCTGTATTCAGCCATCAGCTTGTTTTTCTTAAAATGATGCTTTCAAACTACGTCACTGGCTTTTCCACAGCTCACCATCAGCTACAGTGTAATATCCAAGCTCCTTTACTCCAAGGTTCTTGCCAAGCGGGCCAGCCTCCCTTTCTCTCATTCCCCACTCCTGTCCTTTTGTACACTAACCACAGCATTGCTCCAACTTTAGATGTTCTTCCTTCCCTCCTGTTGTAGACGAGATTCTTATTTCCTCCTGTCTAATGCTACCCCCACTGCGTTTCCTCAGGAATCTCATGTTATCGCCTCTCTTTCTAACATCCTCCTTTTCTTCACGGGATTTAAAATATTTTTGCATGAAATATACTTAGTTTCTCTTTTATTTCTCAAAAATAGATTAAAATCCTTTTGTTTCACTCAGCTACCCATTTGTCCTCCTCTAATCATCTCTCTCCTTCCTTTTGCTTCTTTACTTGAGTAGCTTTTGACCCTATTTTCCTTATTTCCCTCTGCTCCTCTTAACCACTTGCAGACTGGTTTTCATTTTCACTTTACTGAAACTATTCTCTCATAGGTTTCCTTTCATGTAGCCAAGTCCTGTGACCTTACCTCAGTTCCTCTCTCTCTTAAGTGCTTTTCTGAATCTGGTTTTTTTAACCGCTGTCTTTTTTAAGCATTTCTTCCCTCAGGATCCATAGTGCTAGACTTTCTTCTTTTTTCTTGAATCATTTTAACTGTTCCTTTGCTTTCTCTCTGGTTTCCTTTCCTCTTTTTCCCTAGCTGATTTTCCCCTGAGCACTGGTCTCTGGTCTAGGAGCCTGGCCTGTCTACCCTCACACAGTGAGCACAGGCACCCTCACTTTCTGCTGAGACCCGTCCGATGTCTCCCAGATTCTCTAACCCTCCCCCCCACATCTGCCCTCCTTTCTTCCTTTGTTTCTCTCGCTTTTGTTTGTTTCCACTGCCACACTTCTTGTCGAGGACCGTACTGCTAAAACCTAAATCACTGCAGTAGTTCCCACGTAGTTTTGCACAAGGCCTTCAAATTAATCTCCTGAAAACCTTCATGCCATCACTCCTCTGCTGCTCTATGTGCCATATGCTTGCTCTTTTCTGTATCACTGTCCTTATTCGTGCTTTCTCCTTGGCTTGTCCCTTTCTCTACCTTCAGGCCTTTCTCTACCTTCAGGCCAGCTAAATCTTACCTCTTTCAGGCTGAGCTTAAATTCTGTTTCCTTCTTATTCTTAGTAGTCCAGCCCATACTGCTTTTTCCCTGTTCTGAGCTCTTCTTATACCTGCAGCAGGCCCCGCTCCACATGACTGGCCAGTTGCAAACTTCCATCTCGGCCTGATGACCACAAGAACTCTTCATACGCAGCCGCTGTGGCTTATTCTTCTCGGCCCCACCCTCCTCCAGCCCCCATCTTATTCCAGCAGTAGTCAGGTTCAAGGTGGGATTCCCACCAATGTTTTTTTTGTTTTGTTTTGTTTTGTTTTGTTTTGAGTGTCTTATGGGAAATTTAAACACAGTCAAAAATAGGCAGAATAATGTATTAATCTCCAGCACCCATCTTCAGTTTGCTTTATTTGTACCTCACCATTTCCACATCTCCCCATAGGATTACTTTGAAGCAAATACCAAACATACTACTACTTCTGTAAATATTTCAGTATGTATCTCTAAAAGATAAGGATTCTGTTTTTAAATAAATTCACTTTTAACTAAACCATTGTTTAACAAAGTAAGATTTTCTGGTGACAAGAGCAGAGGGGAAAGTAGAGACGTAAGTACAGAGTTTAAATGGAAAGTAGAGGTGATTACAGGTAGCGTGTATTTTTTCATATCACCCTAAAACCCATTAAAGCCTCAGGAAACAAGAGGGAAACTGAAACTGCTTTCTCTTCCTCTGTGGATCTGAGAAGAAGAGGACTGGGGGTTAGAAGTAACAGGTAGTAATAGAGGAAAAAAGCCCATGGGACTCTCAGAATAAAACCTTTCCTTCCAAATTTCTACCCTCAGGCATTGCCCATATGGAGCCTGTGAGGGTCTCCATGAATGTACTGGGGAGGGAGTTCTGATTTTCCTACCTTGGCTGGTTTTGGTAAAAGGTGTCCTGATCCCACCAGATTCCTGGCAGCACAGGAGGATAAGATCCTGGCATCCCAACTTAGAATTCTACACATATTTTCCCACAGAAAAACTGCTATATGTGGTTAGATTCCATAGTACCTATGCAGTGTAAGTTTAAAAGACTCCCTGGATTTCCCCTGGGAACCTAACTGCCGTGTACAACATTTCTTCTGTGGGAAACTGCTTTTGAATTCCAAAGAGTTTTGACCTACTATGAAATTTGGATTCCAGACTGTGTATGAATTAAAGATTACAGGTATAATCAATCTTACTGATTTAATAGTCTTCCCAGATTGTACCATGTGTTAGGTTTTTTCTTTCTCCATAGTTCTGCTAAGTTTTGCAAGGTCAGACCTTATCCTCGCTGTCTGTCTTGTCTGCCAGTGCACCTGGCACATTGCAGAGCCTTTAGGCACTTGATAAAAACTTGTCAATAGATAGATTGGTTGAAAACTCAAGTATTTGTCTAGCTTCAAACATTTTCTCATTTTGACTTTATTACTTTTTCTTCATTTCCAGTGAGAGGTTGACATGCTGTTAGTAATGTCTGGTGAAAGCAGTAAAACCTTGGAGAGAGTGGATTTTACTTTTATTTTTAATTCATGAGACTCATATTTGTTTGCTGAGCTCTGGACTCTGTCTAGAGCAGAGTAAATAGAGTAGACTTTAAAATTAAATGTGGTCTTTAAGAAACAATCTTTCCACAACTATAATTCTGTGCCCCTATCGAACCTTCTAGCAGGAAATAGAAAGGCAGTTGCCTGATTCTGAGTCTTTGTACTATAGTCATTGTTTATCTCCGTGACCCTCTCTTTAGTGTCTGTTCAGACCCATGACCCAAACTGCCTTGACAGATCAATTTCCAGAGCGCCAGTAATCTCAATGTCAGGTGTGGAAACGCTAACAGACTTAGTTTAGATGCTTGTTTTCTTTAAGAAGATAAAAGGTTTTTAAGTAAAAGTTTTGAAAGAAATATGTTTCTATAGTTTCTGACCATATTAAATATTCTAGAAAGGGGCAGCTATAATAAGAACAGGACTTTGCCCTTAGGATTTTTGCCTAAAACAGAATACCTTCTGTCATCAGTCTGAACATTTGTTAAGCCCAAGAAACATAAAACTCTTTAAATGGATCAAATTCCAGACAACCAGATATCTAAATATGAGACATGACATACTAGTAGATTTAACATAGTTGTTTATTTTTCTGGGGTAGATAAAAATAGCTTTTTTGGTTTGGAAATATTTTTCCCTTTTTTGTTGTTTTAAAAATCATTTCTGTTGCTTATTAGTGTTGAATATCCTAGAAAGGAACAACTCTAAGAACAGGAATTTGAGGCCCACACTCAAATTGCTTCATTGCTTTAAATAGCTGCTCTAAGTAAGCCCAATATGTATGTTTTCTAAGTCCAAGAAATAGCCATGCATTTCCAAGATGACATTCTTGTGTATATAGTGAATAGAGCATTAGCGTGTGTTCAGTTTATAGAAACAAAAGGCTCTGGGATACACAGACTAAACCTAAGACATTGCTTATAGGTGTTGAAGAAATTGATCTAATGTACAGACAGAATATCCATGACAATTTATAGAAAACAGCTTTACAGAGAACATGATGAATCATTTTTCTCCCGGTTCCTCAAGGTAATTATGCACTTTATCTTGTTCTAGGAGTATACCATGCTGTGTCTGTTATGTGGTAAAGCCGAAGATACTATCAGTATTCTCCCTGACGACCCCCGACAAATGACTCTGTTACTCTAAGGATCCTTCTGCGGTTCTGTTGTAATGATGTTGTGTTGGTTTACAATATAGGAAGACTGATGGTTTGTCTAACTTAGTTTATAATGGAAATTATTTGACTATTATTTTTTCTGCCTAAGCCTACCTATTCCTTGAGAGAAAAGGTAATTTAGGGGATTGCTGTTCTCTAGAGCTGATCTCTTCTACTAAAGTTCTCAGTGCACATCAGTGCAGCCAGAATGAAGCATTTTTGTTAGCAGTTATGTGGCTAAAAAATAATCAGGATGGGAGCACATCTAGTGCCCAGATCTTGATTCCAATAAAAGGAACTAGAACTCATTGGAGAAATGACTTGAGTCTAGGACTGGGGCAGTAAATATACAAGATGAGCTTGGAGTATCTTGAGCCAGAAAAAAAAGGAGGTGCTCAAAAGAAAAATCACAATGATTGGGAATATATCAAAGGGACAGAGGAGCCAGCTGAAGGAGCTCCCAGTGACCAAAATTGGAACAATTTGAGCAACAAAATAAAGTAGTATTAGATTATAACCCAAAGTATAAAATAAATATTCATAAGTCCATACTGTTATAAATGAATGATTGAATAAATAAAAACATAAATTGAAGACAATAGACAAATTCTGCATGCAGAATAATTTCAAATAATGTATGTGGATACCCTTCACTCCTTAAGTGTGTGATTGCATAGTGACTTCCTTCCAAAGGGTATAGTATGGAAAGTGGGAAAAAGTTGCTTTACGGTGGAGAAACCTGAC